CTGAGCATGCGGACCATGGCCTGTCTGGCTGCGTGCAGCCGCTAGCAGCAAGGACGACCATTTCGTGGCAGCTCCTGCTTGCGCTGTTGGTGTTTGGGGAGCTTAGGGTTTAGGGTTTAGGGTTTAGGGTTTATGACTGTACTTATAACTGTACTTATAACCATATTAGGGCACTTAAGGGGCTTATAAGTGGGTTATAAGTACAGTGATCGTTGGTCGGATTTGGGTTGCCCTATATGGCCGAGGTCTGCTCTTGCAATGAAGCCCGCGATGGAGAGGAACCTTTTTTCGTTTCAGATCTCTAAAGTAGCACCCCCTTGGCCTTCCAGCCCAGAATGGCAGACTCAAATGAGACCTTGGTTTCTTCGTTGGATCCATTTTCTCCCACATAGCGCAGAAGGAAGCAAACGGTTTTTGCCACCCTAGAATACAAAGTTTCTCTGCTGCTGCTTGCGGTAGCGCCTTCACACTGCGCGCGGGAGAATCATGATTGTCGCTCGACATCGGCTGCTTCGTTAGTCTGTGCTGTGCTTGCAACTGCTTGCATTTGAAGGTCACTGCAAGAGCTGTGGTAGAGATCGGTCCCCAAGACTTGGTTTGCGGTTTGGAATGCGGGCCACTAGAAGCAGTCACGCAAGCCCAAGAAACCCAAGGCGCCTCCGCCTGGCGAGGCGCCCTTAAAACTTAGGAACCAAGAAGCTGGAGGAGGGGCAGGAGACTCAGCTCTGCGGCCAGCTTAACAATGATTCAAATGCCAGGACGAGGAACTGTAAGGACTCACGAGGATAGCAACCGCTTAAGACAAAGTGTTCCTCGAACCCATTCTCGCAAAAATGCAAACACCAAAGGTAGAAGGGGCTTGAAGGGGGGCTTGACAAGAGGCTTCAAAGGGGGCTTCAGAAGGGGGGGCCGGCCTCCCGAAGGAGGCTTCAAGGTGGGCTTTGTCGGTTTAGTCAAAGGAAGCTTCCGGAGCCTATAAAAAGCGTGCCCCTATCACATAAGATCGGGTCCCTTGGGTAAGGAGAGTATGTAAGTTTAGGTGTTTTTCAAGGAGAGGCTATGTAAGATCAGGTCGTGTGGGTAAGAAGAGTACGTAACCTTTGGTGTTTTTCAGGGAGAGGCTAAGAGCAGGCTGCCTGACTTCTAAGTTCTGGTGTTTTTTGGCAGATGCTGCATGGGTCTCCTGCACAGGTTTGTGCGGGCTTCAACACGGGCCTCCTACGGGGACCCTTGGCAACTTGCGGGCTGCTTACGTGCCACCTACGTGCCACTTACCACTTACGCGCCACTTACGGCCACTTACGTGCCGCTTACATGCCACTTACATGCCGCTTACGGGCCGCTCAGGCCCCTTGCGAACTTACGGGCCCCTCATGGGCCTTCGCGCCACTTACAAGCCTATATAGAGCCATTCGCGAGCCACTTACGGGCCTCTGGCTGCTTCGAGCCTTCTGCGGGCCTGGTCTTGGAGTTCGAGCGACGAGAGCTTGCGTGACGAATGCTGCGCCCGTTCGACTGACAAAACAACGGGGCCCTGACTAACCCTGGATCGGGTTGAATTCTCACGAGAGCTTACTCAAAGACAGGGTCGACGCAAAAACATGCTTACACAGGATAGCCAAGCCTCAGCCCTTTTTGACCTTACAAGCTTCTCATTTGCTCTTCCCCGAGACATCCCCTCACATGTGCCTCACATGCCACTCACCAGCCACTCACCGACCCAACCGCAACCTCTTATATGATAGGGGCACGCTTTTTATAGGCTCCTTACTGCACCTTTGATTTAGGGGTTTAGAGTTTAGGGTTTAGGGTTTAGGGTCTAGGGTCTAGGGTCTAGGGTCTAGGGTCTAGGGTCTAGGGTCTAGGGTCTAGGGTCTAGGGTCTAGGGTCTAGGGTCTAGGGTCTAGGGTTTAGGGTTTAGGGTTTAGGGTTTACAGTAGGGTTTAGGGTTTAGGGTTTAGGGGACCAGTCACCACTTCCTCTACTATTCTCTTGAATATTCATGAAAACAAAGGGTTTTAGAGCACCACGCCAATCTCTCTCCTCAAATATCGACGAATATTGCCCATGGTACCCACGTTGCCTGCGTTACCTATGTCTTACTCGCACCTCCTGATCGCATGCACCTGTCGGCAGTAATATGACGCGCGTCTAGCGGTGCAGTAAACTCTTCGACTCTTCGACGTCTGAACCTGGCAAAGCTCCTGCTTGTGCGGAAGCGGCGGAAGATGCCGATGCTTGTTGTGCTCCGGCAACACCTCAAATCGACCGTACTTTGGGTCGACTCCTTGGGGAGTTCCTTAGGATGCTTCCGCCCTGAAAGGATGTATCCTCGAAGAGACTACGAGGACAGGCGCGGGATCTCGGATGTCGGGTGGCTGAAGGATTGAGAATGGAGGGTTGAGGATTCGAAGCTTGGGCGGTTCAGGCCCCGCACACAGAATGTCCACCTCCTATACGCAAGCAAAACAAAACCCACAACCCTCAAAGCGAAGAAGCCGCCTCCAGCCTCTCATGTCTCACAGGAGGCCCATGCCCTGGTCAGCTTACACCAAAGAGAAACCCTAAACCCTCAACCCGAAACCCGAAACCCTAAACCCTGAACCCTAAAACCGCGCGACCGGTTTCGTGGATCTTAGAGAAGCTGAGGGAAACGCAGCCAAGGTGCCCTGCGCTGCAGGCTTTGCCTTGCCTTCCTTGAAGCCGGTGAGCTCCACTTTCAGAAGCAAAGACCTAGCAAGGGTCTACCACCCCTCCCCCCCCCCCACACTTTTACCTCAAATTCTCAAACAGTAGGCGAAAACCCACCTCGCACCACAATACCCAAACCAGAGCCACATAAACAATCCCTAACTTCGCCCCTTCTATACCCAACTTTCACCCATTCCATAACCTTAAACCGCATCCACCTGAACAATCCATAACCTTATCCATTCTATAACCTTCAACCAAACCCACCTAAAGAATCCGCAACCCATCCTACACCAAATATCCTAACCTGAACTGGGGTCAGCAGCCTCAAGACGGAGCCTGAAAATCAACCCCGGCTAGGCCCTGAGGGCTACGAGGGCGGTCTTGAGGGGCTCCAGGATCTCAACCCTTTGCAGTCAACAGGCTCGTCGCTCGCAGCGGGGTCCTGCTCGGAGAGGCTTTGGATTGAGAGTGATTGAGACCGCCATGAGCATCACGAACCATGAACTGTGAGATCAGTATAGAAAACCCATCAGCCGTACCGGCCGTACCCCACGGCCCTTCTGTTTGGATTTCAGCAGCTCTATAAGTTGGGGGTCCCTTTCGAGGGTCCTGTTTATAAGGTGCCGTGCTCTATATAGAGAACCAAGAAGGGACCCTGTTTTTGATCTAACTATCCATTCGGGGGATCACCCCCTGCTCCTCTCTGCCAGGAGATGCGTCGCCGGAATCCTCAAACTCGGAGAGCACGGTCGCCTTGCTTCTTTGGTGCTTCTCTTGGGGGCTTCGGGACGATTCCACTGCACATATTGAAAAACGATGCTCCTGATTGAATGAACTTCAACTTGTTGAGGCTGCCCAAGATTCCTGGCCCTGGAGGGCCCCCTCTGATGTGATCGAACTACTTGGACTGCAAGAACGGAAACCCCTTGAGAAGGCAAAGCGACAAAAAGAAGGGAAGCAGATGAGAGAGCTACTTCTCAGCTACTTCTCAGCTACTTCTCGGCTGCCTTCGCCGAGGTCGCACGCAGTCGGCGATTGCCCAAGCAGGGTAGCTTGACCTTTGCATGAAGAAGCACCTCTTTGCCTATTTGATTAACAGCACTTCGAAGGACGAAGGACTTTCACTTGTCTTGCGGAAGCGGTTCGAGGGAAGGGGCGGGGGTGGAGAGAAGGTTCTAGGTTGGGACCAAACACAACAGGAAATTCGGAAGTTTAGGGGGGGGGGGGCCGCCCGTCGAAGAGAAAAAGGGGCTCTCCCTGCCAGCCTTGCTAGCCTCCTCACGCATCGGGCAGCGAAGCCTCAACTTGGGCCCAGCAGCCGGGAAAGACTGCAACTCGCAGAAAGCGGCCTGCCTCAGCGGAGTTGGGTCAGTCTTGAACTTCTTGGGGAAGTTCATCAAATGAACTTCGGGCCCCCGAGGAAGCCGAGGAGTTTTCAAGTTTCTGGGGCACTTCGTAAAAAAGGCCTTTGGCTGTCAAGCTGAGTCTTCTTGAAGCTTCAAGGGCTTCAGAGCCGGCTCTACGTGATGGGCCAGTGCAGGAGCGCGGCTTGCTGAGGAGCAGGTTCGCGGAAGACTGAAGCGAAGAGATCAACGGCTGCCAGGCGCCCTGGGGGGCATTGGATTTCTTGAACTCGAAGTTTGCAGCCCTAGGCATCTTGGATTGGGATGATTCGGATGATTGGGATGATTGGGATGATTGGGGCGCATGTCTTGACTTTGATTTGCAGTGGCTCTAGATCTGCACCAGGACGGAAACCTCAAGGTGCTCGCCAAATTTTGACGGGTGCATCTTGTCAAGATGTCAAACCTGGGAGCTTCTGGTTCACGTGACCATCAGGGTGGCCACGGCTCGTCTTGCTGCACGGGGCACTAGGGTCTGCGGTAATGCTGTGGGGTTTGAGCATTAGACCTACCTACGACTTACGACCTACTTCTTCCTGAACTCAGCCCCTCAGAAGTCCAGAAAAAGCGGCACAAGACTGAACCAAAGCCACCCCCGACCCTCCCAGGCCTCGCCGACCAGGTCGCGAAGTAGCAAGCCTCTGAGTGTTTGTTTCTTCGTTCTGGTAACTTTGTGCTGACCGATGCTGACTTTCTTGCCATGCCGAGGTGCCATTGCCGGAGCATCGAAGCACCATCTGCCAAGGGATCGGCTTTGCGTTGGTCACGGTTTGTCTATGCTTTTAAAGGTCTTTCCAGTTCAGGGTTCTCCCCAGGTTAAGACTTCAGTTTTGTTGCCTGGTATATGAGAACTGCCCATGCCGATGATGAATTCGGTCTGAGAGGTGAGAAGATTGTGGTCTCAACTGTTCTCAGGCTCGGCACTCTTCGAGGCCCCTTCGATCAGCTGAGACCAGTCGTCGATCGCCTTGTATGCACGGCTTTGACGTTGCACCTTGGCATCTGCTGGCCCTGCTGGCATCTCCTGGCCCTGCTGGCCCTGCTGGCCCTGCTAGCCCTGCCTTCACATCCTTCACGCCCTTGGAGAAGCCCTTTGGCACCTGGCGCCGGAAGTGCATCTCCCCGCGAACCCGTCGTGGACAACGTGGCGCTGGCCGCGTCTCGAAAGACGGCCCAGAGCCAATCACGATGTTGCCCTGGTTGTGGTTGGTCTCCAGGCAGAGAGATTCGAAGTAGGTGAGGTTATCGAACTTCGGCCCCACGTCTGGGCGCTGGTAGGCGGCGTTCGCGAGTCGGCCCTCGAGCTTTTCCACCGGAAGGGTTCTTTGTCCTGTGGTCTCGATGAAGCCGAGTCCAGCAGCCCCTCGAACACCCAAATCTGTCTGAAGGGCTCGCATGCCCTGCACAGCCTCTTTGCCACGGGGCAGCATGCGGTCGTAGAGGGGCGCCATGTCCCTCCTGTTCGTCACGCAGCTGTCCGCGAGGTCCGCGTTGTAGCTCATCATTCGATGCAACGTGATCTCGCAAGCTGCTGGGTCATTGGTGTCATGATACTCCAGGGACCTCGGTGCCGGATTTGGCCTCGGCAGCTCGCGGTCGAAGTCGTTGACGAGGGTCATCCTCCGGCGGACGCAGTCCTTGGACGCAGAGGTGTCGAAGCGCACACCCCCTGGGAATCGCTTGGCATCTGCGTGCAGCACCGCCTGCAGTGCAAAGTGACCCAGCCGACCATCAGACAGAGCCCGGGGGAGGGCCCGCTCGAAGCCGACCCCGGAGGGGATCTTCCCACGCACGGCGCTGTAGTTCACGTCATACTTCCCGGGAGCCGCCACGTCATCCTCTTCTTGTCCGGGACGCCCGGGAATCTTTGCAAAGTCCCAGGCGGGTATCCGTTGCTTGTGATACGCCTTCAAATCCTGCTCGTAGAGGTCCTTTGCCGGCTCCGTCACACGATGGTATGTGAGCGCCGGAAAGCGCCCGACCTTCATCGAGTTGTACTGATCCCAGTTGGGCGTCTTGGCCAGGTAGCCTTCGGCAAGTTGCATGGCTCTCCTCTTCGACTCGTCGTCGCTGAATCTGAAGCCATCGTCGTCCTTCTCAACGTCGATGCCTGTGAGGTTAAACGTCCCTGGATTCCCGGGGCTTCGCGTGGGAGAGGCGCTGCCATCGCAGAGTGCCCGCGGCTCGCCAGAGCCGCCAGAGGGAGACAGTGACCTGCTTCGCTTCTGGAAATCTGGCACCTGCGGACTTCCCAGGACCATGTTGTACTGCACCTTGTACCAAGCGGGGTCCGGCCGCTGATCCGACTTCCAGCGGTTCAGCGCGCCAGGGCTCCGTGAGGCGGTAAACTTTGAGCTCCAGGGGCCCTCGTAGATGCCCAAAGAAGTAAAGGAGGATGTTTCCGAGCGTGGGATCCTCCTTGACTTCGGGGATTCCGGGGCCTCAGGCTGGATCGCCTGTATCGCCGACTTCTTGCCGGCCGCAATCTTCTGGCCCAACTTCTCTTGAATGGCTCTGGCGAGGTCACCTTGACTTTTTGAACCTCTTACCTCCTGGCTTGCCTGGCTTAGTTGGCTTAGTTGGCTTGCTCGGCTTGCTCGTATCGACTCCTCAGCCTTTGCACGCATCGCCATCTCAACTCGGTGCTGGCCCACGGTCTTCGTGAGGCGATTGCAGGACGTCTCTTGCTCAAGGCGCGTTGTCTTCCGCTTCCGTCGCACTCGCGGCGTCTCTTCGAAGACGACGTCATCGTGGAACTCACAGTGGGCCCGCAGGTTCGAGATTTCAAACTCGGTCTGCCGCGCAGTATTGGAGTACAGACCCTGGATAAGCGCCCCGTGGCGATCTTCCATGGCCGCCTGCGCTTGCTGCGCCATCTCGCCTCACAAAGGCCCAAGCTAAGCTGCCGTGGCCACTCGCCCCATGGAGAAGCGCTCGAGATGAAGGGGGAATCCACAAAGCTACATCCCCCGCTCCAGCGCACAACTGAGAAGCCAAAGCTGAAGCAGGCAAACAGGCGGTGCACCAAGCTGCCGCACAAAATCGAAAATTCTGAGAGAGCCGTCTAAATTTGAGGTGGGAAAACCGGGCACCTCCACATCTTGCACCGGCACCCCGTCTTGCAGCACGTCGATGGACAGCTGAAGGGAGTGAGGGTACATGACGCGCCCGACGGCCTCGGCATTCGCGCAGTTCCTTAAAGGGGGGGGGGGGGGGGAGGGGGGGGGGGGGGGGGGGGGGGGGCGAACAGGGAACTTTAAAGTGACCCGACTAGGGACCCCGCACAGGACCCACTCTACTCTCACCATACTGTGCCCCGTTGATGATCCTGCAAACGCTCGTGACACTCCGGAAGGCGAAGTGGCCCGCAATCCCCGAAACTCCTCCAGCGCGCGCTGAGTAACCTAAGGTTGGTGACCTGTAAATCTGAGGGGCCCACGGCTTCCATCATGAAAAAACACGAAAAAACACAAAAAAAGCACGAAGAAGCACGAGAAACGAAGCCACCCAAATCTGAAACCCTGGACGCCCCGGGGAGCCTCTGCCAGTTTGCTCGCTCCTTCTTTCCAAGTACCTGCGGGGGCGATTGCAAAGCGCGGAGAAGAGTGAAGTAGGAAATGCTGCGACATGAAAAAAAAACCAAGCAAAAAGTGGGAGAAAGTCAGAGGCCTGCAGAATCACTTCTGGAAGATGATGGAATCTCGGGCTCTGCTGTCCTGAGAGGAGGCTAAGGAGTTGAAGGCCCTTTTGGCAGGCCCCCTGAATCCTTCGGAGGCCACAGCTTTATCGCTTGAGCCGCTTGAGAACGTTTTGCTAGTGGCGTGCACCCGCGTGCAAGGTGCACGCAATCATTGTTATACTATGATTTGCAATAAGACCAGGCGATAAGACGAGAAGACTATAAGACTATAAGACTATCATACGATCATGCTATCATACTATCATACTGTCCTACACTACTCGAGTACCATATAATACGTACTATACTACCCTGTCATTGCAACAATATAATGTCATGAGATGCATGTCCCAATGCTGTAGACATCACCGCTTGTCTGCCAAGAAGCCTCGAGATCTCATCTGCTGCCCTGGCTGCATCTGAACGAAGCTTCGCAGGCTTCGAGTCCTGACTCTCAATAGGTTTAGGGTTTAGGGTTTAGGGTTTAGGGTCTAGGGTTTAGGGTTTAGGCTTTGGGGTTTAGGGTTCCCCGCTATACCGAAGTTACGCCGCACGTCGCAGGGCCTTAGACAGCCCTGAACCCCAAATGCGTGAAACCTGCAGCACTCGGCCTCCACGAAAGGTTCCGTTGTTTGTCGCAAGGGGTAGAGTGATGGCACGTGGCTCAATGTGAGCCGTGACAGGAGAACCCATTCTGCATCTACTCAGATTAGCCGACAGAACGGAAAGAAACTGAGGGACAAAGAAACCAAGATCTCAAACAAGGGACCCCAGTAAAAACTTGGCGACCAGCTTAGCAAGTGTGCATGTCAGCACATCCAACACAAGGACCAGCTCCAAGCAGTGACAAAACAGCACGGCACAGGGCCTCTTCAGTCGCCCCTCTCCAACTCTCACGCCGAGGCTGCAGAAGCAAGCAACTGATGACCTCGGCGACTCGGGCTGGCTTGAAGCGCAAACCAGCGGTGGCAAACAGCGCCTCACTTGAACTATATAACATGCTCTTCAAAGATCTTCAAAGAAGCCTGATCCGCTGTACCTTGCCTTAACGCCCGCCTGCCTCAAGGCCGTTACCGGTCAATCAGCTCTCGTTTCATGACCCTCTGTGTAGGATGGCAAGAAAAGCCGACTGATGCTCATGGCACGAACATGCACCGTGTCACATACCGGAACTGAAGCTGCTTAGAGCTCTAACAAAGAACCCTGAAATCACCTCCACAAAGCCTCAATCTCCAAACCCAGACCCTTAAAGCCTCAATGGCCCTGTTAAATCCTTTTAGGGCCCTGCAGGCCTCTGAAGCGGCCCACGTTAAGGCCCCGAAGGATCTCGCAGCTTTCTGAGTGTTTTTAGTCCAGTCGGGCATGCAAACGGGGTTCGAGGGCGGCATGGGTATGCACACCTTTGCTGGGCGTCTCCAAAATAGGCCTAGTTAGGGCCTAGTTTGAGCATCTAAGAGCTGGGCCGGGAACAGAGTCGTCTTGATCAGCATGTCATCCACCTGCTCACACTGCTCGGCTTGGGTTGAAGAGCCCAAGCATTCGGGGGCTTTTGCTTGAATGACGGCATGTGGTGAGCCCTGCTAGAGCGACACTTTAGGCAAATGTCAGCATTTTGGCGTTTACGGCAGATGCAGAGTTGCGGAGCCCACCTCATAGCCCCAAGAAATACCCTCAAATACGCGCAAACGCTGGTAAGCCTGAATATTTGGATAGCTTGACCGCAACTCGCAGAGAACGACGGACAAGTACGTGGCCTGAGCATGACGCGGAGGGGGGAGTTGCGCACGGCTTCGGTTAGTGGCAGCTTTGATCGGATTGAAACCTTCTTGCAGAGCCCGGTTCACAGTAGCAGCAGCAGCAGTCCCTTGTTGAAACAGCTGAGCCAAAGCCTGCAGCCCAAACAGTGCCAAACCAAGGGACACTAAACATCCCAATGTCTCGGAAGGCGCCAGCGATGAGGATTGACAGAAGCACCCCATGCCTGCATGCGGCATCATCTCTGGACCACTCTAATAAATTCAAATGTTCTTTTGAAGGCCTGTAGGAGCTTTGGAAACCTTCTGGAGCTGCTGCCGTGCACGGGGGGGCCTCAAAACGGAGGACCCTACCCTGCAATTTCGAGGCTGCGCAGTGCCTGCTGATCATGTCGCACTTGGTCGACCAGGCCTCCAGATCCGGGGGAGGGGGTTAGAGAAGAAAAGCGGGGGAGCCTTTCTCTCTGGAGTCTGCTTAGAAGCACGAAACATTGCAAGTCGAAGGCGGGATCCGGAACCCAACAGCCTACCGCTCCCCAAAAGAGGGCAAGGCCGCTTCGACTCTGGCCGAGGGAGGGCTCGAAGCAGGTTTAGTCGGTTTAGTGGCTCGGGTCATGCTTCTCGAAAACATGGCTGCCGGGCGACGGCGCTGGCCAGTGAGAGGTGGGCTGCCGTCGCAGCCTGAGAGAGGGTTTCTAGGAACCCCTCAAATGTCTTGCAGATGAAACGGCCCATTCTATTTCGGGATTCAGGAAAACGGGGATCGCTTCTGGGCCGGTACAGTATGCAGAAATGTGAATATGCCAGCCAGGTCTCCACCTGCCAGATGCCCAACGTCCGAACGACCAATGTCGAAAGCACGGCGCCTGCAAAGACAACGACCTGGTTCGGGAGCCGAGAGGTTCGACGGTCTACCCTGTTGTGAATGAAGCTGATGGGCAGTCTACGGACAATCTCAGCGGCTGAATCGACGCCTTGCGTGACTGTTGCTTACGATGAGGAAGGACTGCTAGTCATGGGATACACCCAACGTGTACTCTTCACGACTTCTGCACTTGGGCCTTTTCTAGGTATTGTTTGTTGGGCTCGGTGCTTGTAAAAAATCTCACACAAAAGCCCAAGGATTCCAGACCTCTTCAAGGGCCCCGAACCATATCCAGAGATCCCCCTCAAGCCCCCCCCCCCAAGACCCTCTCCCGCAAAACTTCAGCATGTGGCAGGAATACGGGAAGCTGATATAGCTGACGCCAGAGCATCCTTGGCTTCACTTCTACGACTACAAGTCTTTGGGGGGGACTCAGAGTCCAACCAGTCCAACAACACCCCCCAAGAGGCGCGGCCGCGCGACCCTTCTTCATCTGGTGTTTCTACTGGCATTCTATGTGGACTTACCTGGATGTCCGTAGGGGTTGAAGGGTAGGCGACTTGCACACGCTCATCATGCACCCACTTCCCCGAGCTCCTTTTAAAGGGGGAAAGGAAAGGATTCTGAAGGCCTCAACGGTCGGGTCTGAATCAAGGTCAGACTGCCAGTTTGGCCCTTACGCGGTACCTGCACTTGTTAGCTCTACCTCAGCCTCATGGATTCCAAGTCTCCTCTGGCCAAAGCAGCAAATAGCCAGTTCCCACCACGTAGGCCCCTGGACGGACTACTCTACCACTGACAACACGACTCTTGCTGTCAACGCGGGCCAACAGTCTATTGAGAACTCTCGGCTTTGGTTGTGACCCAAACTGACCTCAAGTAAACCCTCCGAGGTTCCCATTCGAAGCGGCCTTGCCTGGCCTGCAAGATGAAACAAAGTCCTGGGGGGGGGGGGGGGACGACTCTGAGCATGCTGGGGTTGGGTACTATAGAATCCCTTTGTTAGTACAGGGGGGAACTCCCAACAAAAATGTGTGAAATAAATCTATAGCTCCCGACGTAACCGGGAGCCAGAGAGCGAAAAGACTACGGTTTTGGGTTCAGGCGCTAGGGTGGATGTGTGTCTTGGTAACCTCCATCATACGCATCCCACAAGAATTGAACCAAGCAGGTACATCTCAGCTGTTCTCCCCATGTGGGGGTTTCCGACAATGGGGGGGGTACCCTTTTTGGGGGTCCCTTTAAGAGGATTCTATTCTATTTGGGGTGTCAACGGGGTGCCCCTATTTCGGGAAGTACCCACGTTTTCTTGTGGACGTCGAAGTTGACCCTGCGTGGAGATAAAAGCCGCGGGGCCTGAGCGAAGTCCGAGCCAAACCTCACCAACCCCCGCGTAGCCCAAGAGGGTTCAGGGATTTAGGATTTAGGGTTTAGGGTTTAGGGCTACTGAAATGTCTGCGGAGGGCGTGTAAGGCAGCGCGAGGAGGAAGGTCAGGTGATCCAGAGTCATGTCACCGGCTGCTGGTCTCCTCGAAACCCAAACCCTGAGCCCGTACAGTCAGAGTTGAGCTTGGCTTTCAGACACAAGGCTCTGCAGTAGACCGGGTCGTTGTGAAGATTCTGCAGTTTTTTGGGGGGGGGCGGAGGCTTGCCTAGCGGCTTCTAGCGTGTCGGGCGTTCAGGTGGCGAAGCTGTCATCACCTTTCTTTGGGTGAGATCATCGAATCGAACCGCAAGGGTTGGGGACCCTGAAGGCTCCCAGATGTCCAAGGCTTCACGTTAGCAACGCATCCGTGACCGACATGCCCTACAACTCAAACCCACCTACAAGACTCCGAGTAGTCCGAGCAGGTCGCTGATGAACATTCTGCAGCCGAGGCGCACGCGCACCCCCTTCTGATGGAGCTCACACCGCTCAAGACGGGTCGTGACTCTACAGATTCAGAAGCTGAGCTGTCGTGTACCAGTGTTCACTGAAGTTGCCCGAATTCTATGATACATTCTGGAACCTCAACATGGCCCTTGCGACTCTCTCTGCTCGTCTTGAGCTGCCAAGCAAGAGGTGGAAGCCATGGGAAGCCCTTCGCACACCACTTTCCGAAGGCGTCGGAAACGACGCCCGAGTCTTGAACCCTCTTGAGCCCCCCCAACTCAAAGACACAAGCCATACAAGCCATACAAGCCCTGGGAAGCATGCAGGAGTCCGGGAGCAAAAAAAACGCGGGGCCTTTTGGACTCGTTGGTACGTCTTGAACGGCATTGCGCAGCCATTGGCGCGCTGGAGTTCGTCCAAGACAGGAGTTGCTTCAGGCTTCCTCCACCACGACACATCACGACACAACTATGCTGGGGGCATGTAGGGTGCCGTGCAGGGTGTAGATCTGACATCTTTGAAGACGGTGTTCAACCAAGTTGTCGTCATGAAAGCTATCGAGATGTTCGGGCTGGTGCCTCATTCGCCTCCTGGACCGACTGCGCTCAGAGGTTACACCAAGGATCTGCTCTTCCAATCCTCCCACTTGCGGACGCGAGCGGGCTACGCAACAACACCACACCACCACAGACCGCCGTGCCACCAGCATGACATTGTACCTCCCGTTGAGGACCGCCATCACCCCACCTCGCAACCCTAAACCCTAAACCCTAAACCCTAAATCCTAAGCCCTAAACCCTAAACCCTAAACCCTAAACCCTAAACCCTAAACCCTAAACCCTAAACCCTAAACCCTAAACCCTACCTCACAGCACCCTCACAACAACTCAGTGTTCCTGCGCCTCAGTTCACCTCGCACACCCCCACTCCGCATAGCCCACCCACCACCACACCACCCGTTCACCCGCCTTCGTCCACGCGGAGCATCTGCAATCAGCGAAATCCAGCCGAACATCGGGGCTGCGCCCTAAACCCACGATCTAGTCCCGAAAAGCCAAAAGCCTGGTATGGCGTGGATCCTGCAGCAACTGCACTAAGGCAAACAAAAATTCTGAGACCTCTTCGAGGTTTCGGGAAGCCAAGGGTGCTGGGATGCTTTGGACACGAAGGCACCCCTGCGGGGGTTTGGGGCTGACTTTGCTGGGGGCGGGGAAGTTCTCATAGGATCCAACACCTTTTTGACACATTAAGACACGAAGTCCAGAACTCCGGAACAGCAGCTACCGATACCTAGCATTACCTACGACCTACTGTCTCCTGTGTGCTCTCTGCTGCGCCTCCTACCTACTACCGCCACCACGACTCATTGCCCAGTACTACCTATTACCTATACCTAGTACCTACTACCTACAGCCTACTGCCTACTACTCAACTACTCCTTCCCCTTCTACTTCATTTGCACCCCGGTGAAAGTATATCCATGAACATCCAGATAGGCATGCGCTTTCAAGGTGGTGGGCCATATTATCATATGTGGCTTACCATCATCTTCCGCCACGACTCCAAGCAACTGCGACACACTCCCCCCTCGAAGAGTGCAGGGCCCTAACCCTCGACCCCTCAACCCTAAGCCCCAAACCTTAAACCCAAAACCCTAAACCCTAAACCCTAAAGCCTAAACCCTAAACCCTAAACCCTGAACCCTAAACCCTAGCAGATTAAAGAAGCTTCCGCTTCACGCTGCCAAAGCTCGGCGGGCTCGCGCTCCGTCCCCAACACCCCAGGACAAGTAAAGGACCCGGGCAGGGCCAACCTTTCATGCCACTCTCGCAAGCTCGGCGAAAGTCTATTCTTTGGGGCTTGCACAGCCTAGGCCATACGCACTACCACTTGCACTTGGCAGGTTTCTCCTTTGCTAGTTGCATCCTGCATGGTTTTAAGGTCTGCAACAAAAGCTGCCATTCATTTTGATGACTATCGTCTGCTTGCACTGTCTACATCGCCCCAAAGAACACGAACTTCAAGCAATTTACACAACGTACGTAAACATGTACTCTGACCGAGATGCTGAGAACAAGGAGCCTGCAGAAAAAGCTAGACCCAAACCTCGGCCCCTAAACCATAAACTTGGAGCCCTCAGCCAGAAAAATCTGAACTCTAAACCTAAAGTGCAATCCCTAAGCCACAAACTATACCCTGAACCTAGAGCCACACTGTAAACCTAAACCCTAAAGATAAACCCTAAACCATCTAAGCAAGATGAACTAAGCCCCAAACCGTCTAAGCAAGATGAACTAAGCCCCAATTTTAAATCCTAAGCAGGGGGGGAACAGAGCAAACCGTTCTACGCCTCGCCAAGCCCTGGAAATCAGTTCCTACCTCCTATCTCCTCTTAGAAACGGCATCACATGATGCAAACCAAACAGAATACTAAGCCTCAAGCCTACAGGCAAGGGGGGAGGAGATGGGAGAAGCCCTCATGTGCAGCATGTTCGGCAAGCCGAGGTGGCGAGGCTAAAAATTCGCGGAATTTAAAAGACGGGGCTTCCTTGGAGCTTCTTTGGCCCGTAGACCTTCGTGACCCGAAACCCCAAAGCAAAGACAGCCGTGCACGACAGGAGCAACCGAACGTGAGCCGGTATCCTCTGCTTCTCTTCTGTCAAGCCTGGTTCATCTGTTTTTTGGGCTCCCTTACCTAGGCCTACATCGTGAAGTAGAGCGGATGACAGTCTTGATTCTTAGTAAATGGTCACGCCGTCGCGGGCTAGGTGCAGGCTGCGGTCTGCCGACCTAAGAGGTCACCAGATCCGCCCTCCAGGCTCCTCACTTGGAAGAGGCTGACAGCCCATCTTGCTGTTTGCCATCTTTCTGCTTGGCATGCCATTGCTTGCCAGCATGCCATGGTTGGCCAGAATGCTGCTGGCCAGCATGCAGCTGCTGCCCAGCTTGCGGCTGAGCCAGGTCAGAGGGTCCTCAACTCATCGTCTTTGGCTTCAGGAGTTCAGGTGAGATCATGTGTGCGCATGCGTGCGCATGTGTGTGGGGGGGGGGGGGGGGGGCGTAGAGACTCGGGCACCCCTTGGGCTTCATAATGTTGTCAGCAACCCTGAGATCGCAGATGCGCTCCAGAGCAAAGCGCTCCACGACGCAGCAGGCATGCACCGTACTTGCACCATGAAGCTGCTCCGACAAAGAAGCCAAGCCCTCCATTTACTTGCAGCCCCATAGCCCCAAAAGAGAAGTTCTTCTGAGCTCTCCAAGGCCTCAAGTCTGACCCCCGAAGAAGCCCAGAGAAGAGTTTGGGCTCTCGAGCTGAGCTTCGAAAGTCTTAGAGGGCTCTCTAAGTTCTAAGTGAAGGTTGAATGTGAGAGCGAGACGAGGCGCTGCAGGGCGGGGCGATGTAGCGAAGCCTCGGTCTCGGCAAGTTTTGCAGAGCCCCCCCAAGATGAACCTTCGAGACTGGGGGAGCTTTAGAAGCTTTTTGGGCTCACGGAAGAGCTCTACTATTCCGTGCTTTCTGTGACCTGCAGGGCTACAGGCTTCGATTCATGGGCAGCTCGGACAAGGGGAACAAAACGAAGGTCTGCCTTCTGCAACATGTCCTGAGCCCACACCTGTAGTCATTGATGTACAAGGAATCTGCTCTCCAGGAAGGAAGCAGCCATTTGCAGACCCCCAATCTCAGGGGCTTTTGACAAAGCCTCAGAACCTCAAAAGCCCACCAAGCTGGCTCATGAAAACCGACTGTCGGAAGGCCTTGAGATTCCCTGATTCGCTTTGCATCCGAGACTTACAGTAAGTGTACCAGTGCCCTGGACCCCCGTCACCCTCCTCGGCGGCCTAAAAAGCCTCAAAAAAACACCCTCTTAGGGCCCTCAACCCCAGCACACCAACCCCGTGACACGCCCCAATGCCGTCATCGTGGCTTCTTCCACGCCTCCGCGTTCATGCCACGCTCCTGGTGCCAACAGAGGATCTGGGCTAGCAGAGCAGGTAGACACCGACACCGAGAGAGGGAGAGCAGAGACAGAGGAAGAGTGAGAGCCAGCAAGCGAGAGCAGGGTTTGGAGCCGCTGTAAATCCTACATGCCATGAGACCAGGTGAAAAAGTAGGATAATCGCACCAGGACGATGAAACCCTAACCTCCCCCACCCCTCATGCAAAAACAAGAATCCGCAGACCTGTCCGCTTTCCCCCATTCTTTCATCATAGCCACAATCATGCATCATCAGATCCATGATACTGTCCCGTCATCTGCATGTACGACTTTAGTGTTCGTACCTATTTGGAAAGAGGAAGCAGGAAAAACTCACATCGCAGATCGCAGAGATGCTCTGGGTTAAGCCTCATAGCTTGCAAGCCCGCTCAAACAACCCCAGGTGGTGCACTCCAAAACGCCCCAAATGCCCAACAGCCTCCCTTGCAGGACTGCAACGGGGCTACATGGTGAAGAAAGAAATCAGAAACCTCAAGACCTCAAGTCAGTGCAATCGCCAGCCTTGAGCACACAGACCGGCTCACTTTCCAGGGTCGTGGGAGCAGTGCCCTCCGTCACTGCGAACCACCTCCGGAGGCTGCATCTTGGGGGCATCTTGGGTACTCTCCCCGCTGCACAAGACGCCCCGTGCTGCGGAGATGTGGGCATCTGGGGCCACACACCACACAACACTCAGGTAGAATTGCAGTGCAGGGAATCGGAAACTTCGTCTCTTGATGCACACGATTGCACACGACAAGCCGACACGTCCCCCATGGCGGATGGACACAGGTGTAGTTGGCGCGAGAGTGTCCTGCGTTACCCTCGGCGTGGGGCCTGCCAACACGTTTGCAATAGGCATCGGCACCAGTGTTGGGGGACCACGCCTTATTGGGCCACCCTTGTCTCTGGCAGCTCCCATGTAAGATATGTAAGGAAACAACAAACATTATGTTTTGCATGGGAGGTGGTCTTAGGGGGAGGAGGAGGGGGGGGGGGGGGGTACCACAAGTATTCTGCACACGCGTGCAAGTTTTGGACATCCTGGACGGCACAGGCGGACCACAGAAGTGAGCAGGAGAACCGGGAGCCCTAGGCCACATGGGGGTCGCTGAAGCTGAAGCGCAGCCCAATCGCGAGAAGAGACAGCGCAAACAGATTGTATTGGTGTTTTTTGTCCCGTTTCGGAGATGGTGGGTTCCAAGCGTCTGTGCCGCTTCTGGAGCTGACAGCGGCAGTTCTGCTTCGTTGACAGGCTTGACTGCTTCAACTTACCACATGTTCTAGGTATACGAGTTGCTATTTTTTACACGGTCTCGTTGGAGCCTTAGTTTATGCGTCTGTTGTCCAGGAAGAATTCTATTCTTATGGACGGGCTTCCATGCCAGCAATTCCGAGAATACCCTGACCCCCCCCGGGTTCCTCAAAGAAACGAGCAAATCTACTACCTTCTACTACCTTGGGGGGGATTCCCCGGGCCTCTTCGGCTCTTCGGCATGGCTACCAGAGGGAACTACATGGAACTACCAAGACCGGCCATCTTCAGGGTTTTGGGCCCTCCCTTTCCATGAGCATGGGAGGGACTTGTTGAAGGAACACTGTTACATGCCTTGCATGGGCTGCTAGATGCCGACACATCGACTCTGTGCACCGTGCCTGACCATCAGGGCACGAACATGCAAGGATGTGGGATGTAGACGCGTTGCGGTTTTAAGCTGCCTGAGGCTTCCATGGCGCAGGGTTCCAAGAAAGGTCTCAGCAGGCCCCAAGACAAGGATAAGGTTTCGGATGCACCTTCGTGAGTCGTCCTCGAAGCTTGCCTCGACTCTACTGCAAGTCTTGGAATGACAGCTTCCGCGTTTTCGGTCTCAGAAGGTGCAGGCCTTGAAGCCCTCCGTCACGTCGTGATCGGTCGGAGGGCGGGCATTCGATTATAGCCCCTTCGCACATGTGTTCCTGCTATTGCCATATTCCCCTCACAGCACAGGGTCCCAACAAAAACAAGGAGAATACTCTTCTAACAGAAAGGCCCGAAAGACCACTGACATGCGGGGCCTCTCGGCGTCATCCTTGACCAGGGATTTCGCGTCGATGCACTGCGTGGGCATGTTGCCCTGGCTGAAAGATGTCGGGAGTTAAGCGGGGGGGGGGGGGGGACAGAGAGCACAGCGAGCCCACTTTGGCCGATCTCCCGACGTGGGGCGTTTAGCGCGCTTCTTGTTTGCTTCGGGGGTGGGGGGGGGGGGGGGGGTTGCCTCTTAGGACCTCTCCTCAGGCTCTGTAGGGCAAGTTGTCATGCCTGATTGCACACACGGTGACAGGCGGATTTGCCTCCTGGGCCAGATGCAAGATGGAGCCGTTGAAGGCCGTCCTAGGAGTTGGGATTGGTTGGGGCTTACCTGCAGCGACCGGGTGCTCCAGATATCGAATCATTTTTTCACCAGCACAGCCCCGAACCCAGGATCTGCGGGGCTGCGAGGTCAAATGAGTTGCACAGTTGCACGTACGCATCGGTTGGGCCGACTCAAAAAACACCTCGGAACTGCCTCAGGGGTGGACAGCCTTTCACTTAAGTTCTCAGGTTCTCAGAGTTAAGTCAAGGGGCAGCTTGAATGGCAGAGTGCAGCCATTGGCGATGTGGTCGTTGGCCAAGAGACGCACAATGCCAACGCCCTCGTTCAGGGTTTATTCACGTCACGAGCTCCCCATGAAACTTAAACCAGACTTAAACTGTGCGGCAAGTGTCGTTGCTGCAGCTACAACCAGCTTGTCTCGTGTTTCTGGGCATCCAGAATACAGAACTTCAGTGCCTTGGGAGCTTTTCTAAAAGCAAAAGGCTTCGTCCCAAACCAGACGGGGGAAAAAAAAAAAAAAAACGGGTCTTGGCGGGCAGCCTCAACGTTCTCGAAACCGCATAACAGCAAGCTGGCCCTGCTCTGGACCATGGACCGGCAGAGGGCACCACACGGCACTCTTCAAGATGCGGGACGCTGAGGAAATCGAGGAAAGGGGGGGGGCAGGGGGGGCAGGGGGGGAGTCTGTTCGAGAAATCTTCTCAGGTCGCTGCCACCGTGGCGTTCTTCGCCGAGGGATTGCCTTGGCTGCTCTTTGTCTTCCACGAGGCGCGGTGCCAATCCGAGGGCCCATGTGGGGCCTCTACTGCAACAAGAGGCCAATTTTTCGGAAGCCCACACAGCCCTCAGCAAGGCGCTGTGGCTGCGCTTCGAGCAGTACTTCCAGAGACTCTGGTTGACGCGGTTGAACTCATTGCCTCAGCCCATGAGCTGCTCGAGCTGTTTTTAGGTGATTTGGGTGTTGGATGGGGGCAAGTGGCGTGTCTGGCGTGTCTCTAGTTGTCTTAAACATTTCGCGCCTCTGTGCTCTGCATGTCGACAACCGAAGTGTTGACACTTCTGCACTGCAAGCACCGGAGGACTGAACCTTGCCCGCTGTGCCGGACTTTCAGTATCTACGGTTCCGTGCGGTGTATTCGAGACCTCTGCACTTTCGCCGGGGAAATTCCAAAACAATGTCACCGGCAGCGAAGTGGCCGGTGAGGTTCATGGTCAGGTTGAGCATGAGGAATTCCTGGGCTCCCAAGGTCTTTCCTGACCCCCAGCTCGAGGGCCTGAAGGTTTCAAAATCTTCGGGGCTCGAGGTCACTGGACGTGAGAAAACTCAGTTGCTTACTCCTCTGAATACTCCTCTCAGCAACAGTGTACCTTGCCGACGCACGCAGCGGACTCAACAACTTCAAGGGGAAGAAGGTGGCTCCTGGACTGCTCCTAGGCTCGGAAAAAGGATTCTGTGAATCCGAAACTCCTGAAACTCCCGGACCTCCTGAAGCCTCGATGGACAGGAGGCGTACTGGTCCCTGTTCTGGGACAAGAAATGATCGTAGGAGGCACCTGGACTGGGCTCTTTGGCTCGGTGCTTCGGGCGAAGCCCCAAGAATCTCCCTGAAGGCCGAAGACCTCCGAAACATTGCCCCTCATGCTGCAAGGCCCCGCCTTTCACCGAGCAGTGCAGTGGTCCGGCCTGGTCATTTCGTGCTGCAGGCACATGTGACGAGTTGGGGTCAAGAAAGCTGCAGGAAGCCCCAAAACCCCAAGACCAGCATCAGCAATGCGGACATCCCAACCCCCAGAGTCTCCGCATGGTGCCTGGAGCAAGGCCCCGACAGGCCTCGATCTTATCGAAAGAGCCTACGTCCACCGAAACACGCTGAATCTCACACCCTGAGAAGTCACTGAAGTCAACGTACCAACAATAGTACTAAAATAGGAATAGTAGGAAGAATAGAATAGGAATAGTAGGAAGAATAGAACTTCATATGAATCATAGGAGTATAGGACGTCATATGAATCATAGGAATGATAGGAATCACAGCCTTGGTTCCGCAGAGGCCCTGGAAGGCTGCCTTGACTCTGTGCAGAAGGCTCCTGGGTTTAGGGTTTAGGGTTTTGGGTTTCGGGTTTAGGGCTTGGGGTTTAGGGCTTGGGGTTTAGGGCTTGGGGTTTAGGGTTTAGGGTTTAGGGTTTAAGGTTTAGGGTTTGGGGTTTAGGGTTTGGGGTTTAGGGTTTAGGGTTTAGGGTTTAGGGTTTAGGGTTTAGGGTTGGGCATTGTATTTGCGTTAGGCTTTGGGGGAGGGGGGGGGGGGGGGGAGGGGGGGGCTTTGAGGATTTTGGGGCTTTTCACGCAGGCAAGAGGAAGCCAGCCGGCTTTGCTTCTTCAAGAGGGTGGGGACTCGGGGAGCAGCCCAAGCTCTTGCTGCCAGAGGTGCTCGGCGGAGAAGAAGGCCCCCGGGCCCTGCGTAATGAACCTTGACAAAGGGGTTTAGGGCTTAGGGCTTAGGGCTTAGGGTTTAGGGTTTAGGGTTTAGGGCTTAGGGTTTAGGGTTTAGGGTTTAGGGTTTAGGGTTTAGGGTTTAGGGTTTAGGGTTTAGGGTTTAGGGTTTAGGGTTTAGGGTTTAGGGGGGATGGGTTGGGGGAGTTTACGGGGGGGGGGAGGAAAGCTCGACAAAAAACCATGGTGGTTCTGACACTACGACACGTGCGTCGTGGTTGCTTGCCATGGGTCGCCAACGCATCGTGGCTGGGACTTTGACAGCGTATCAGAAACATGGGCGGTCAAGGAAATCGGGTGAGTCGCATGTGGTGCCGATCGTAACGATGAGGAGTCTGGTGCAGATTTCGTCAAACTTTAACCTGCAGCCTTCTAGCCAAAAAGCGTAGCAGAACGGTTCTGGTGTCCCTGTTGACGCCTGTTCTTTTTACCACATCCGAAACAAGTCCAAGATAGGACAGAGTTCTGTGAAAGCAAGGATGGCTCTTGGAGCGTGTGCGTGCACGAATGCTCTAAGGGCACGTCCCCCTTTGTGCAGCCGAAAGCGCTCCAAGAGGGGCATCGGATTGCTTGCGGTGTCGAGCATGTAGGACCTGCACAGTGGCCATGGGCTTCCTCCGGTTTCAGCGCGAAAATGTCCCAACTGAGCATTTTCCTAGCGCTCTTCAAGCGAAGGCTGGGCTTTGCGCTCGGGTTCTCGGGCTTTGGAGGACTTAGGAGCCCCCTAGAGCCTGTGGTACTCGCCATAGAGTGCCCGGAGCCAGGAGTTGTAGTCGCGCTGCATGATGAACACCCGCACATTCCAGCCCTTCCTCGGGTGTCTCCAAGCAGATGTTGCCACAGCTCGCGTTGAAAGCCCTCAAGCTAGAGAACCTCCTTGAGGTGTTGACCAAAGCTGGTGCTGCCAGACAAGGCGTTTGCGAGCACTCCTCCTTCACGATGCATGCTTGATACCATGCCATGGAATTTGGGCTTCCGAAGTGAACCCCGAGTTTCACTGTTTAACCCTGCACTCTGCACCGTTTGAAGCCCTGAACCCGAACTAACAAGGGGTCCAAGATGCAGCTGCTGCAGGAAAAGCTTCCAAACCTGAGCTGTGCTTCGACGATTCGAAGCCGGAATCCGCAGAAAAGACTCAGGGAGAGAGAAAGAGAGAGTGAATCAAAGTCTGACGCACGCAAAGCCTGACGCATCGGGATGGCTGCGGCCACCAGGGCGAAAAAATAAAACTGCAGCCACCCACAATGGCTTATACACAGCTTTGGGGGGGGGGGGGCTTCATTGGCTGAGAAACGATGACACCAAATCCGAGAAGTTTCGGCCAAGTCGCAGGCAACGCTGCCTCTGTAAACAGCTCGGATGAAATCCTGGAGGCTTTCTGGGGGCCCCCCCCCACCCCCAGAATACCCATTAAATGTTTTCCATCAGGGGCTCGGTGGTCTCGAAACTCCGACCCCTATCGCTTTGATAGTGCTACCCCGAGCACCCCGCCGATTTCCTGCGCCCCCCCGAATACATTTCCGGGGCCTGTGGGTAATGTATTGGGGGGGTGTACACCCCGCCCCCCCCCCCCCCCCCCCCCCGAATACATTAGTTGGGGCTGGGTCTCTCTGTGGGGTGTGTCTGCCTTCTACGACTCTAGGCTTGCCTTAAGGGAGGGGAGGGCCCATTGCAACCCATTGCAAGCTGCAAAGAGAGCCTCAGAAGCTGAGCTCGTGACACGGCCTTGCAAGGCTTGCCCTTGTGATGCGCTTCCTGCAACTGAGTGGGTGCATACGGATGCATAGCAGTGAGGAGGGGAGAGGAGGGGTGAGGAGGGGAGAGGAGGGGCAGAGGAGGGGGAGAGGAGGGGGTTAGGAGGGGGGGATGGGAAGGGAGAGGAGGGAAGAGGAGGGGGTGAGAGGCGGCACCTCGCACTTCTGCAGCATGGCCCAAGTCTCGTTGAAGGTCTCCTCGTTGTGCCAGTCGTAGGCTTCCTGCTTCAGAGCGCCAATTCTTTAGGGCTGAAGGGCGTTGTGAGGGGTTGAGGGGAGCCCATGCCGGGCTTTCTTGGTCTGGGGGCTTCAGGGGGGTTTAAGGCTGGTTTTTGGCCGCCGGTCGCTTCAGCTGCAGCCCATTCACTCAGGAGGTATAATCATATAATCGGTCAAATTTTCTATCTTTCAAAAGACCGGACACTGACAGAGATCAGGGTTGCGTGCACCCAGGATGGCTTGGGACGCAATGCTCCATCGCCCACTGCACCCTGCCCCAGAAATCTCAACCAACGTCTACAAAGCCTACAATGCCCTGCAATAAAAGACGCAGCATTTGAATAACCGAGACAAGGAAGAAACAAAACACGTGCATTGTTAGTTGCCTAGACTTGCTCGACAAGAAACGAGGCAAAACCTGACACCAAGCGGTGAGAAGAACTGCTGTTTCATCCACCTCTCCTCACCAAGTATGCAATGGACATAAATACGCGTCGCATGTATCTGTGCATTGTTTGAATATGGTTATCCTTTTGGCATTTTTCTGATGATTGTATCAATGCTTGTATTCATGTCTACATACCTTTGCACAAACAGGTGCATATGCGTTGTGATCCTTACTGCAAAGCGAACCGCGTGTGCGTGTGTGTGTGTGTGTGTGTAAATACGGATGTAGATGCAGATCTATGAACATGATACAAGTACATAAACTCAACTTCGGTCCCACGCCGGTCCTTGAAGCGGGGGACTGGGCTCTTCGCAAGCTCAGAAAGGTGCACCAGGAAGTTGTGGTTCGCGATGGCTTCTGAGTTCTCAAGGGGCTTCAAGGTTCGAAACATCTAAGGAGTTTAAGCGTCAGTTCTCCTTCCAGGCAGAATCCTGGGACTCCAGCTAGGCATGTACTTCCCTCACAAGCGCAACAAGTCGTCCAAGCCTCGCTCAGCAATTCCCAACCCCGTGTTCGTGCCAGGGCCTGCGGCTCTGCCCCCCGAACCTTGCCCCACAGATGCTCCCCAGATGCTCCCCTTGCAGCTGAGCCACTTTCCTTCTTGCTGACCAAGGAAGTGATGCCAAAGTGCTCCGCCCAGGTCTGGCATTTCTTCAAGGCAAACCTAAGCAAATGGCGCGTGGGCTGGTCTACGCTAGTGCGGAATTGAGGATTACCCCAGGCCAACATCGAAGCATGTGAAAGCCTTCCCTGAAGCAAAGACGAATGGAAGTTGGCAGGTGCAGCGCGTGCGCCCACCACAGTCCTAGAGTATACCTGTGGAGACCAAAACCAAAGGCGAAACAAGCCACCATGAGCTTCTGAAGATCCATCCTAGCGTCAAACAACCAACGGATGAAGTCTAATCCTGTAAGCCGCCGTCTCAAACTCACGACCTGCAACGCATCCTTGCAGAACAACCCGAGCACAGTCTTCTGCCACAGGGGCTGGGTAGCCGTGGTTCCAGTCTTGTGGACGCCGGCCTCAGCATGCACCCCAAAAAGTGCCAGTCTTGATGCAGCCCAAATTGAGTCCACTCGCGCAGCCACCGCACGCTGACCCCTACTACGACCCCTCCGGCAACAGGGACATCATCTCGGGCTCGGGCATGGATGACAAGAAGGGGGGCCGCCTGAACCTGAGCCTTTCAGGGCTCAGCGGCTTCGAGGCTTAGAGAGTGCCCTTATTTTAGGACCTGGAGTGCTTCAGGGCGGCCGAAAATCAAGCTGATCATCAAAAACTGATGGCCATGGTGATGGAAACATCTAGGAACCTACGGCGGTTACGAGCTCGGCTCCGACGAGTGGAGCTATGAAAAACTACTTCCCGTGCTACGGGACGCCTCCACAAGTCCCATTCAGACCAGATGGGCAAACAAAGCATCGCCGTTCCGAACTGAACCTTCCCCCTGATCGTGACCAATGGCGGTCCCTTTTTGGAAAAGTCTCAAATCTTCTCAGAAAGAAGGCACCCCAAGGCCGTCGCCTCAGACGCCTGGAACTCCGACTTGACTTCGTCGCCTCCATAGCGCTTGATTCTCACTTCGGGACCGCCAGCCATATCCTAAAATCAAGTCTTTGGCGTGCTGTACAGATCCTCTGGGAGACACTCCTGTGATTCTCTGGTGCCCACCCGCTACACCTCTAAACTCGCAGCATTGCAAACTTGAGCTCTCCAAGTGAAATGACACCACAGGGCCCTTCTGCACACACACACACACACACACACACACACACACAAAGAGAGAGAGAGAGAGAGAGGCCGCTTGAAGACTTGTGAACAATTGTGACACGAAAAGAAGCGAAGAAAAGATGATAGCACTTAGCGGACTTGGCGGGCTCGAGGCACAAACCCTACACACCTGAACCGCTCCCTAACCACCACGGGCCGACTTCCAGAAGCCCTGACCCTGCCAAGGGCTTTGACGCGAACCCCCAAACTCAGGGAGAAACGCGGGGAGAGAGCTTCCGCCGCTTCCGCGCTTCCCCAACTTTGCCGCGGACCTTCCAAGGAGATGCGCTGCAGCAGCGAAGATTCCTCACCTACGCGCGGGAGAAACGGTTGGGGAGGTTGGAGCAAGACATGGAGAAAAAGAACCCTTCAAAACTTGACTTATACATACTTGTGCATTTTATTTTTGATTCATTTATTTACACCTACTTGTTTTCATTGACTCACTGATTTAAGTTGTCCGGGCCTAGGCCCTTGGAGCAGCTGGAAGCGGAAGCCGCCGCCAGCAAGGAGAGCGCTGCGAGCCTCAAGGGCATGGCCTTGGACTGCACGGTCAGGGCCATAAGGAAGGGGTTTAGGGTTTAGGGTTTAGGGTTTAGGGTTTAGGGTTTAGGGTTTAGGGTTTAGGGTTTAGGGCTTCGGGCTTCGGGTTTAGGGAAGAAAGAGCCCTCAGCTCGGGGCTGTACATTCTTCTGAGCATGCTGCCTGGCTTTGGGGGAACCCACACATTTTCCTGAACACCTCCGGCACACAAAACACCAGCCAGCCTGGGCCCCGAGCGAGATACGGGGCCCTCCTCTGCGTATGGATGTGCGGTCTCTCAGAGCTGAAAGACAGCGGCAATGCGTGCGGGGTGGGAATGGGGTTGGAGGCTCGGGGTTTGAGGGCCTCTTCGGACCTGTCGGAAAAGTTCGCGATAGGGTTTCGCTCCAGCTTGGTCAAGGCTGATGGCTGGATTGCGGCGGTGGTCAAACTGCTCACTTCGTCGCCTTCATCGCCTGCGTTGTCTTCAAGGTTGCAGCTCATGTAGAGCAAGGTTGCAACAGGTAATGCCATCAAGGATGTACGCGTGTGTTAAAATACAAATGGCTCCGGCGTGCTGCATGCTGTCTACTAAATCTACTGTATCATCGCCTTCATGGCTTTCATCACCTAGAGTATGACCTGATCGCGCCAAAGCCGCTGCCGGCATGCAGGAAAGCGCATGCCCCCCCCTGCGGTACCCGAATCGGCCGACCCCAGCTGTTCTCCGGCATGGCTGATGCTAGATCCGATCGACATCGTTCCGGCTGGTCGGACTTTTTTTGCTTCCTGCGACAGCCAGGTCAGCTTCTCGCAGCATCGGACCGCGAGCCTCGGGCATGTCTGGGCGGTGAGGGTTTTGGCTTCTTTAAGGGCCCCCTTATAGGGGGGCCTATAAAGGACTTTCTGGAAGTCAGGATTTTTCCCAGATGCACGCCCAATTTAACGCATTCCGCTTCTGCTCGCTCTCGCCTTCTCTCTCTCTCTCCTTCTCTCTCTCCTTCTCTCTCTCCTTCTCTCTCTCCTGCTCTCTCTCCTGCTCTCTCTCCGTTTCTCTCTCTCTCTCTCTCTCTCTCTCTCTCTCTCTCTCTCTCTCACCCCATCGGCTCAATTGCATGTGCTCCCCAAGCCACCTGGGCTTTTTAGGGCATGGCTTTGGCTATGTTCCTGGCAACTCAAAAGTGCAACAACTTCAAGAAGGGGCGTGTGTAGGGCAACTGGTAGTAGATGGAAGCCTCCAGTGGCACAGATGCTGGACCATAGAAAGCATCACAGTCTGCACATTCCAGCGTCGGCTTTCGGGCTCCGATTTCCCTGTCAACACAAGGTTGGGAAAAGGGTTTAGTATACCCTAAACCCTAAACCCTAAACCCTAAACCCTAAACCCTGGGGTTTCATGACCAACGAGCCCAGGAACCCTCCATCGATGTAGTGCACACTCAAGGCTCGCCTCTCGGACTCCTGGGCAGCCATTGGGGTTTAGGGTTTAGGGTTTAGGGTTTAGGGTTTAGGGTTTAGGGTTTAGGGTTTAGGGTTTAGGGTTTAGGGTTTAGGGTTTAGGGTTTAGGGTTTAGGCGCAAAACTCTGGGGCGTTCTTTTGCCTTGTGAAGAATGATGGACCATCTTCTCCCTCTTTCCGAGGATTCGAGAGCTCGAGTTTGCGGGTTTGCTTGGCGGCTGCCGGAGGGCCATATTATAATTAGATTATTATTACTATGATTATCATTATTATTATTGTTATTATTATTTTTGTATGATTATTACTATTCTTGTTATGACTATCAATAATGTTGTTATTATTATTACTAGTATCAGTGCTACTGTTGTGATTATCACCATTTTTATTTTGATAAGGTCATGGACTAGGAACCCCAGGCAACCGGTAGCCAATGGCTCCTGCCGCCAGTTCCCTGCCCTCCGACGCTTGCACGCCGCCATGGCTTGCGGGGCGTTGTTTAGGGTGTCGGGTTAAGGGTTTAGGGTTTAGGGTTTAGGTTTAGGGTTTTGGGTCGATGCCCTGAAGGCTCCAACAGCAGCGTCCGGAACAAACTCGACAGCCTTGCCGCACTTCAATGCCTACGGATGACACGACAGATTGATGCACCGCTGCTTGGCAATGTGGCGGAGCATATGGCGCAACAAACACCATGCGTCGAACGAATGAACTTGCCAGACACGCAACCCAAGCGTTGGAGATGCAAGGCGCTTCCAATTTTCAGGGCAGCATGAGTTCAGGGCCTCGAGCGGGATGCTCAGCAGATGCTTTTCGACTCCAAGCCGCTAGTCGCACACGAAGCGGGTCTGTGCGCAACTCTCATCGAGAGTCCATTCTAACGCCCCTGAAACCTAAAACCTAAGCGTCTCTCCTCACAAAGCTGGCTCCGGAAGCTTTGGCGGCGCCTTCTTCGGAATTTCCTGGCCACGGGCGATCCACTCAGCTAAGCTTAGGGACTCGGGCTTGGGGGTCGATCGCGCAACTGTGGCACCCAGATCACTGCCCACACTTGAGTTTTCAACTAGTCTTCACCATGCGATAGACTGAGAGGCCCTCAAGAGGGCGACATCCCGGAAGGTCGCCCAAACCACGCCAAACCTACACCACGGCAAACCTCCGGAAGCACAAAGACCGCCGGTGCACGCCCTGGGAGCCTGAGCCTGAAGCTGCGGCGGAGGGGCCTTGCGGTTCCTGGGCTCAGGGCAGCGAACCTCGTCGAACCTCAAGAACCTGCCACATCCTCAAGCCCGACCTTCACCAGACAGAGTGACAAACGGGTGTTTTGGGCTACCGGGCGGCTGTGGTGGCCCCCCCGGTGGCGGCGCTTTCTTGGACACTGGGGCCTCGGACTATGCGCAGGCCCCTAAAAGACCTCAAGCCGACCCCCGCGCTAAAACCCCAATGACTCATGACTCATCGACTTTTTCGCCACATACAGTAAGCACTCTGGGACTCGCTTGGGGGGGGGTGGCTTTCAGCACGTGTAGTGTCTACATATGTTGGATTCTTGTGTTGTCATTTTCGAACTCTTGTTGTTTTTTTCAAAAAACATGCAAAGTATCAGCTTAAATGCCTGGTACAAATCCACGATTACCTGATATTATAAAAGCGATTATGTATGCCGCATACACAAATGGTATACTTAATAAATTGAGTGGAGAGAAGCTATCTCGATTTATTCTCATGCATAAAAAAGTGGAATGAAAAGTTCTGAATTATCAGAACAAAAATTAAAAGAATTTGAATCTATTTTGGTTAAAAATACAATTTCACGAATATTTTGTCGAAAAAATGTTTGGAATTTAGATAAAGCTGCTATAGAGAATATTAAAATTTTTGAAATTGTTTCAAAATCAGACATGCAGACATAACTCAGAAGTGTGACAAGTAATGCCGCGTGTGTCGAAGGTGCGCATGTAAGGCTAGACAAACAACACAAAAACTCAAACATATCCATCTCTCTACCTCAGCAGAAACTGAGGTCTAACAGCGCAGGAGGCCCAAATGTGTGTTTTGTATATTATTGTGATATGGTAGTACATTGATTGTATTGCACTGTATTGTATTGTATTGTATTGTATTGTAGTGTATTGTCTTGTATTGTCTTGTCTTGTATTGTTCTGCATTGTACTGTTTTGTATCGTGTTGTATTGTATTGCTTTGTACTGTATTGCATTGCATTAGTTTTATTCGTAGCGTAGCGTACTGTATCATATTGCATGATATTCTTGCAATATTGTCTTATGATGTGTCGCACTATATCGTTATCTCGTTCCCAGGTCTTGGAATGGGCTCCCGGGCCTGCGTGGGAGGTGGCGCCTCTTTTCAAGCAGAAGGGAAGCTGCAAACGGGCTTAGGGCTGAGGATGTAGGGTTTAGGGTTTTTGGGGTTATATGTCCACATGAGGAGATCGGGACAGGTTGGGAACTTCGGGACATATGGGGGACCGGGGGTCGGCCTCATGGCCAACACATCCAAATGAAATGTCTGCCAGCCCTGCAAGGTGCTCTAACCGTGTTGTCACTGGTTCCATCAGGTTTCTCAGCACCCGGTGCTTGATTCAGAGCACCAAGGTGCAAGCTGCTTTGCGTGATGGGTTCAGGACTTCATCCCCGCCCAGGAAAGTGCCGGTCCGTGCCTCTGCCCCGGGCGGGGGAGCCTCTCAGTGAGTTGGCAAAAGAAAACTGGTTCAGGGCTCAGGGGGTTTCAGGGAGGGCGTGGGCCATATGACACACTTATGTTCCGATGATCCGAGGAGATTTAACAAACAAAGACCGCAGAGGGGCCCTCCCTCCCTTCACTGTGCGGGGGCTGGTGCATCCGAATTCCGACACCAAAACTCCGACTCTCCAATGATCGGCCTTGAAGCTGGCGGTGGAGGCCTGCAAGGAGCTCTAAGATCTGCCAGAAGCCCCCATGCCGCACCCAAGAAATTCGATCAGCCAGGGTGACCATCTGTTAAGTTGCGCCGTCCCTGCTACACTTGCACTATGGCTTCTGCATGACACGCATGTGAATGTGTTCAGTTGCAGCTCTCTTCAGGATAACTTCTTGCCTGGAAGGGCGCCTGATCTTGGCCGCTCCATGGCTGATACCTGGGCAGTCGCACCAGGCATTCCACGGTTTGCTGACGTTGGAGTTCCAGCGACGTTGTGTCAGTGCTAGGGCTCAGGGGGCCGGAAAAAGACCAGGACCTGAGTTTAAAGAGGCATGCCTGATCTGTTTCATCCCAAAGAAGAGCCGCAGCCTGGCCCTGCAAGCTGCAACACAAGAAACCTGGACCTCCCCCCCGCCCCGCCAAGCATGCTCGGCACGCCAAGGAGCGTTGGGTGGAGACTTGGAGGAGGGGCCTCTCAGATGCACCATCTTGGACACTTGTTTTGGCCGTTTGGGCTTGCAGGATTTGGCTGGCAGGATTTGGGGCGGAGGGCTGGAGAATAAAAAATGAGTTTTTATGGTTTTTCGTCTCAAGCTGCCACTTCACTTCTCAAGCTTCCCCTAAAGGCCTTGACGGTGGGGTTTCTCGCGGCCACCGCCCCCAACTCCTTGCATGGCTGGGACACAGAGGGGAAATGGGCTCGGGATGCTTCGGGCATCTTCGGGCCACGCAGCCGGCCCCCCCTTCTGCGCGATGCTTGCTCTACGTCGGCTAGCTCCGCCGCATCGCCGAAGGCCGAATGCCGCAAGATTCATTCGCTTGCAAACCATGCCCCGACTTGTCACCTCACTGTACGACAACAAGGAACAACAGAAGGAAAAGAACACAACAGAAGGAAAAGAACCAGCTGCTCGCCTTCGTCAGCTCAGGCGCCGCCGCAGCGGGCATCGGAGGATGCTTCGCCGCTGCGGGCGCCGCAGCGGGCGCCGCAGCGGGCGCCGCAGCGGGCGCCGCAAAGGGCGCCGCAAAGGGCGCCGCTGCGGGCGCCGCAGCGGGCGCCGCAGCGGGCATCGGGGCGGGCGTCGGGGCCGTAGCCTGGGCCTGGCGCTTGAGATCCATATGCTTCGGGGTTTCCAGAAAGATTGGGACACGGATTCAACA